TGTACTCTGCGTGCGTTTATTCTAGGGGAAGTGGTGGCAGGCTGCAGCCATCCCCACGTGTGGCTGGTGGCCCAGGATGTGCTGGGTCCTCTCTGTGGATTTTCTTAGCTATGGTAGGTGTTTTTGCTGTGTCCAGGAGCCAGCATCCTATGCACAAGCGTGCCTGTTTGCCTTCCCTCCTCCCTTTGTGGGGGCGGAGTTATGGCATGAGTGTGGCAGCCACAGGTTTTTATAAGTGCTTTTTGTAAAGCAGCTAACTTAAAGTTACTTTAGACTGAGAAGCCTGGCAAACTAGTTGGAATAACTTAAGTCATTAAGTACCACGCTACAGGTTTTTCGTGGGAGGTAGGGTCCCAGTAAGCCCAGGGAGGGGAGGCAGACAGAGACAAAGGATACGTGGTGAGACCATGGAGGAAGTAGAAAAGGTGTGCTGACATCTTAGGTAAGGGAGGGGAAGGCAGAGCCTGGAGGCATGACACACGCCTATGGGATTAGCCATCACCTGTGTCTCTAGGTTGCTCCCACTTACTGGTACTGGAACACTTTCAGCAAAATGAAACCTCCACTCTCTGGTCGCTGTCTCAGGAAAAAGGGACATTAGATGGTGGGGGGAAGAGAAGCAGTCATCAGATGACATCATCAAACAGGACTCTGCCAATGTAGCAAATAAATCTGTACACAAATAAATCTGGGGCTTGGTCTCAGCCCACAGGAAGGGAGCATGAGCTCTCCCAGAGCTGGAATCACCTTGAGGCCAAAGTTGGCAAGGAGTGGCTTTCTTAACTCCATGATGGGGAAAGTTTTTCAGGAAGATAGGAGGAGATAGGTAGAGTAAGCAGTGCAAGAAGTCTGTTTACATGGGGAAGGAGGAGGTTTGGGAGAGGAATTGGTTGATTTAGAAACTGGTTTACAGGCTCATAGAATCTGTACAGGGAACAGAAAGTACAGAGGGAGGGTTTGATGCAGAGATAGGGAAAGGATTGGACATAGGAAAATTCCTTCCATTTACCAGCACGCTCACAGAGATTGTATAAATCCCTTAAGATATTGGGATTGAAAATGCCATTAAGTGGCCATTTGGAAGCATTATCTAATGGGTATTGGGGCCAGGCCGGATCACAGAGAAAAATGAGCTTTCATGGCTTAAGATCAGGCGTTAGGCAGCCTCCAAATAGAACTACTGATCAACGCATGACTATACAAAAGGTAGTCTGAGAAGAAGAAGATAAAAGCTGGGCTACTTGGGTCAAGAGTTGTCCTGTGCCTCAGGTAATGGGATTATTCCCATAAAGACTGAGTAGGAAAGAGGCCAAGAGCTTGCAAATTTCCTCCCCCTGAGAGTCCAGGAATAGCAAGAATGGCTCCCCTGTTGAAACTGTAGGAAGCTGGGCAGGAAAACAGTATGTGCTGCCTGAGAGTGGTTTCCTAGAAGTCCATGCTCACTCACATAAAGTTAGAAAGCACTAGCATTCACTCATTGGCACCATCATGCTGGAAGATAGTATGCACCTTGCCTTGAAGGAGGCAAGGGTGTGACTCTTGCCTGGAAGAATTCTTCCCAGGAGGTTAATGTACAGGGTGCACAACCATTGTGTGGACACCACAAGTCATGTGACCCATATGGTGTCTTCATAAACCCTCTAGAAATAAAGAACTCCCAATGGCTACTTACAGTTGAGAAGATAGAGAGTCAACTCTTTCATCCAGTGTCATCTTGAAATGAACTACTCCAGTAAGTTTCCAGGAACACAGGACCCAAACATTTTTCTTCCCATTTACACATTCCCCATCCTACCCTTTCCCCAGCCAATAGGTACCCAATATGAAATTAGCTCCACACTGCCTCCTGCTGTGTGATAAACCAATTATTTGAGGATCTTCAACACTGGTCAGAGTTTAAGTAGATCCACTCTCAGGTGCCCAAGCCTTGCCGCCTGGGATACCAAGGCCTTTATGCTGCTGTGACTATTTAACTGTAGGTCAGAGCCAGAACAGAGACCTGAGGCAAGTCCACACCCAGGTCAGTTTGAGTTTTCTAATGATATCTTAAGGTTCATTTTGTAGTTCAGTGGAAGAGGCTTATGCATTCCTGTCCAGTCCTTCTTTATGATAGCAGGACTCAGCCCCAGGGTGTTGCTGTCCATAGTTCTCATGTCCCCTCCCTGTGTGCTCCAGGTGGCAGCATCAAGAGAGAGGCCTGGCAGATTCAGAACACATGGCAAGCCAACACTCTATGTTCAGGACACCTAGCGACCTAAATCAACACCTGCCATTTCTTACCAAGGAAGGCAGATCCTGCCCTGGGTCTCCAAATGTTTATCCAAATGCATCTCCACATGATAGAGTGTGGGACCTGCCCATGCTCAAGCCTTTGCTCTTTACTGATGGCAGAAGTGATAGCAAAATACTGGAGGCTCTCATGGCTCTATCTCTGCACAAAAGTGAGCACAGCACCCTCACCAGGCTTCTCCAGGAGCAAGGAGCAACTTTCTGGAAAGCTCCTCTCTCTGCTGTGAACTTCTACAAAGACATGGACTCCTACAAAGCCTTGGGGATCATAGGTTCAGCTCAGTGTACCTGAAAGCATCATTCCTGTGGTTATAGAGGTTGACTGGCATAACAGAGAGGTTACAAGAGGGATGCTATGGCCCATGTGGATCAAGGACCATGTCGAAGGAGAGAGCAGAGTTCATTCAACACACAGTTAATGAACTGTGGCCATGGGACTCACAGGATGTTCAACCTGAACTCCTACTTTTTGAATTTGGTTTTTGGCAAACATGGAGGGAGGCAAGGGCTGGTCTTCATCTCTACAGGAATATCTATAATTCCTGCCTGGTGCCATCTGTAGCAGAATGTCAAGAGCTGGAGGAGGAATCTGGCCTTGAACAGGAAAGCAGAAGATGGGGGAAGCTGTAGCTGAGGTGAGAGCAAGGCAAGAGCAGGGCTGGGTTAGGGCCTCAGTGCAGGTTGCAGGATCCTGTGACCCTCAAGGAGCCAGCAGGGTCATGCTCACAAGCAAGCCCCTCCCCATCATCAGCAAGCAGAACCTTGCAGGGCAAAAGCAGGGAGACCCATGGGTAACACTGCCCCTTGGAGCCACTATGACCAGGGCCCTGCACAGGCGGCCATGAAAGAACTGAGAAAAATGACCTGAAGGATCAGGATGAATCTTCACGAGTAGGAGGATGCAATAAGAGGATAGGGCAGAGGCCACTGGGGACAGAAACAGGGATTAACCAATCACAGTAGAAAGGCACAAACTTTCAACAAATCCAGCACTCAGTGGATGACCACAAACATTCCAAGGTCCACTCATTTCTTTCTTTCCCTGAAAGTGCTGGTTCCTCATCAACATCTTCCAGAAACAGTTGGAAGTTAGTGCTTGTCCTGTCTCTAGAGGCTCAGAAGAGACACAGGGGCCTTGACCTCGTGAGCCACACTGCAGCCTCAGCACTAACTCCTTCCTTTCCCTGGTTCCCAGGATCCACACACGTGACCTCATTTGCCTCCTGTACCAGGATCTCAGAATCAAGTTGAGGCTTGAGTTGTCTGATCTCAGTCCTTTATTTAATGGGACAAGGAAGATTCTGACCAGGGATTTTGTAGAGAGTTTAGGGAAGGGTGCTAGAATTCCCAGGCAAAGGAGGCTGAGAGTATGACCAGCAACTGGGCAGCTCCATGAGAGGAAAAGGAGAAGTTGGGGTCACCTTGGGGAGGCCCTGTGGTCAGGAGGAATATGTGAGCATGTATTTTTGCCTCGGTGTGCATTTGTGTGTGAGCATAATCACACATGTGTACATGAACATCTGTGACTGCATGTGTCCTTATCTGCATCTATGTGCATATGTGTAATCTCTGTGTACACATGAATTTGTGTGTTCATATAAGGCTTTGTGTGTATGTAATAGTCTCCATGTACACATTTGTGATTTTTCCCTAAATACAACTATGGAACTCAAGTCTAGGGTGAGTTGTGGATTTCTGGTTTTGTTTTGAATCACTGTATGGCTATGTAGCCCAGCCTAGTTGTGAACATTGATCCTCTGGCCTCATCTTCCCTAGTTTGAAATTACACTTGTGCAATACCACATCCAATGTATATTCCATTATTATTGCTTCCCTTCTTTAAATTTCCCACCACTCAGTTAGTGCATTAGCCATGTGAGACAAGTGCTAAAATAGTCACTGGAGATACAGGCACTAGTGGGCATGAAAAACTAATGACTTCCTAAGAATCAGATGCCAGGATGACCCCCTCCATGGGCAATCAGGGAGATTGAGGAGGTCCTGAGATGCTTAATGATCTGGGCAGGGTCACACACCTAGCCCTGTGTCCTCAATGTTGGAGCAGTGATTGCACCCAGGCCTGTCCAAGACACTAGGGTGCAGTGTGTGGGAGAACTGTGTCAAACCTGTCCTTATGGCCTAGACTGGGAGGGGGTCCAACATTCTAATAGACTTTGGGGAGGTCTGATCTTAGGAATATTTTCAGTTGAGGTACCTCCAGAGATGCCCTCACTTCCTGGATGATGGACCATAGAATGTTGAACCCTAGTGAGCAGGTGCCCACATTCCAAACCAACTGTAGCCTTATCACTTGTCTGGAGACCCTGTAGAAAGAAGGATGTTCTCTCGCTGTCTCCCTATTTGTGGAGGTTCAGGCCTCAAGAGAGCCCAGAGTGGAGGTGTAAACCAAGTCAAGACACACTGGGTCAACCCTCACCCAAGACACACCTGGAGATTTTATCAGAGGACCTCAAAGGTGACACAGAGCAGGCCAGGGCAGGCATGGCAGGCCACCCCAACCACTTTGATCCCCCACAGATAACACCAGAGAGAGAGAGAGAGAGAGAGAGAGAGAGAGAGTGAGTGTGTGTGTGTGTGTGTGTGTGTAGCTAAATTCTTTCTCAACTCTAAGCCAGTGAGTCCTTTTCCAGTTTGATTCAGTTTCCATGTTTAAACTGTCCCTTCTTGGTCCCAACCCAGAGTGAAAATGAGTCTCCTCTCTCCTGGAGGAGCCCTGCAGGGTAGAGGCCCTCAAGGCAAGAACCCTGAAGAAGTTGGTGGGCCACCTGGTACCTTCCCTGCTGCTTGGGGACCCACTCTTTGTCCCCATCTTTCTGTGCACTTACCGACAGTTTGCTGCCACTCAGCAGGTGCTGGACCTGCTGTTCGCAATGTGAGCACCGCCTCCAAGCCCAGAGAACTCCCCCAGTCCTGCCTGTGCCTAGGGAATGCTCTGTGTGATGGTGGGGGTTGGGTGCTCAGGGACCACACTCAGGGTGTTGCTAGGACGACATGGGATGAGCCCTGGGAGTGCTTGTCCTGGACCTGTCTCTGCAGGATCCACTGTCCATGGCTATGGACTCTTCTGCGTGACTCCCCACCCAGCTTGAAGACTTTCTGATCCTTGTTCCTCACTTACCTGAGTCCTCTAGCAAACCAATCTCCTCATTTGTAATGGAGCTTCCTCATCCACAGACATGTCCCTGACCTAGCTGTATCCAGATCAGGGAGCTCTGGGGGTGGGCCGGCATCTCTGTATCCACTGAAGTATCTGGGAAGGAGCTGCTTGTTCTAAAGTACATGAGGCACATGATGTGTGGCAGGGGATTGCCAGGCATATGCCATCATTTGATCAAAGAGCAGTTAAAGTTAAATCCCTGTCATCCTCAGCTCCATTCATAGCATGGAGCCAACCATTAAAAATAGACATCATAAGCAGGTACAGTGGATGTGACATCCTCACTATTCCTCTAGATATGGCTGCATCCTCCCCTACTCCAGTGAGGATTGTGGACCAAATGATCAATTCAAAAAGTAAGTGAGCTTCTGGCCATCAGGGAGGCACCTGTTGGCATAAAACGAACATTGGTGGGACTTGGTATGGGGAGGACTCTGGGCAAAGCCTGTATCCCAAACATCTTGTGATTTCCACTTGAGGACTCAGGTCTAGGGCTTTCCCTAGTGGAAGAAGAAGACAAGAGCTGCATATGAGTTCCTGAGCACCTGGGGACCACAGGGCAGACTAGAATAGCAGAGCCAGACCTTTTGAGAATGCATCAACCCCACCACAGCCCATCCTGGCCAGGCTTCCCCAACTTGTTGCATGTCAGGGACACACAATGTATGAGGGCATCTATCCTCACTAATTGGCACTAAACTGGTTCCCAGGGTTCTTGTTGAGTTCTCAGTGTAGTGTGTGCTCCTCGGAAGAAGTGTGTGTAGGAAGACCCTGAATACAGCAGAATCCACCAGGTTCAGGTAGATGCCAGGCAGGAGTACATGCCCTAATTGTCTTGACATTCCTGAGGGAAGGGTCCCAAACAGACACAGCACTATGTGGAAAGTCTCTGAGCAGGGACAATGCACTCAAAACATTGTGCTGGGCTCCCTCCCGTGGAGGTTGCCTGAAGCTCCTCCCTGTTTATCTTGCTTGACACTGCCTGGACATACAAACATCTTGGTCTGGGGTGAGCTATCCTCTGGATAGACAGGTACATTCACAGGAACCCGGTACCCACAAGTTCACTGTGGCATGGCAGGAAAAGGCAAGACCAGGGCTCTGATTCTGCTGCACATCCATCTGACTCCAGGGCCATCACCTCTGTCCTTGATATATGGCTGGACCAGTATTCAGATGATTTCTGTCAGCCTCCAGAGTTTCCCTGCCTCAAGATGCTGATGGCTTACTTGCAGCTTACCATGCCTGGCTCAGACCTGGATAGGCATGCCCACCTTCTCCTGACCCAATGGGAGCACTTCAAGCCGAGTGAAGGAGAGCATTATGGTGAGAAGCCCGGGGCTGTGAACATAGTGCACATGAGTAGAAGGTCATTGTTGGACCTTGCCCTAAGAGCCCCGAAGCCTAAATCAGGAGAACGACAATCCTGGGACTCCACAGAGGGTGGACCTGAGTCTCAGAAATTGTTCTTTTCTGGGGACAGACACTCTGGCTTCTCAGGCAGGCTGGGGTCATTTCTGCCTTGAGAAAGCTTAGTGCAAGGCAGTCATATGGGGTTCTTGTGTCCTGCAGCTGTATCACCAGCTCCAGTGCTGGTCCTAAACCCAACTCCAGACCTTGATCCAGGTCCCTCAGAGGCTCAATATCTGCAGCCAAACATGGTTTCAAGCCCGTCACAAGAGACTTCCTGGCCTTCTGTTGTGGCCACCAAGAATGAACTGCGCATGGAGAAGCCTCACCTCTTAGCTTTCCCTCCAGACCTGGTGGCAAAGCAACTCACACTGATGGATGCTGTGAGTATCTGATGAGGGCAGGGTTGTGGCCTCTTCTGCCCAGAACTGGTGTTCCCTGGCCCAGATTCGATGTTCTCATTGAAACCCCAGCTCTACCTTTGCAAATCCCATGACCATGGCAAGTTTCTTAAGACCTAATCTCAATTCCCCTTCACACAATGGAAATTGGAATGCCTATAGTTACTGTGAAGATTCAGGGATTGGGACAGAGGTGTAACCAGGTCAGTGTGTCACCTTGATCTTCATATAAGGCCTTTCAAGTTATAACACTCATTAGGAACCTGATGTGTCCGTGATAGCATACATAGGATAAGCTTGTGGTTATAGCAAATTTGTATGTGGACCTGGTTTTAGATTGATATAGTTCTGGGTGGGAGTGGGGGTTGCAGAAGGTAATAGAGGGCTGTGCAGGCATGAGACACTTTCTGGCAGCCCTCTACTGAGTTTCAGTAGGAAAAATACCCTTCAGCCTCTCCCACCATGTGTCCTTTGGGTCACTCATATGTTGGGTGCTCTTGGTGGTTAAGTAACAAATCCAGAGATTTTACAAGGTTTTACCCACACCTTCAGTTTCTCAAGTTCCTGCATCTACCACTGAGCTCCAATCATGGCCTGGACACTTTGGTCTGTGGCAGGGCCAGGTGACATGGATCCCCTTCCCCGGGAGCTGTTCAAGAAGGTGGTACCATACCACTGCCTCGACTCCATGTGGTCTCAGCAGGACATGAAGGGCAAGAAGTATCTCGCCCCCACCATCCGCAACGCCATCACTCAGTTTGAAACTGTGGTCTCCTCTGTCATCACCACCTGCCTGGGAGACCAGAGCCTGAAGGCCTCAGACAGAGCCCAGGTGGTGGAACACTGGATTGAGGTGGCAATGGTATGCTCCAGGAGGGATCTAGGGAAACCCTTTTCACATGCCTCCACTCTCAGGAGTGGACTGTGGTCAGAGCCACTGCCAACACCCAGCTCCCTCCTCCAGGTTGTGGCCTCGACACTCACAGTCTATAGTAGAGGAGCATGGGGGAATCACACCCTTTGACACTCTACCTGTGACATTATCAGAAGTCCTACTCTAGTGACACCTGAGTCCCTCTGTGTCCCCGGAGCTCCCCACCAACAGTATCATCAGGAGGGCTCATCCCTGTAGTAAATGAAAGCAGGCACAGGCAGAAGCTCCTTCCATGGCTCACATAGTCCTCCTCTCCAGGAGTGTGGAGTCCTGAAAAACTTCTCCTCCCTCTATGCCATCCTCTCTGCTCTTCAGAGCAATGCCATCCACCACCTGAAGAGGACTTGGGAAGAGGTCTCCAGGTGAGTGCACTCCCCTCCACAGGATCTCTTTGTGTACAGGAACTAGTATAGCTAGCTCTTCAGTGAGCCCAGACATAAGCCCTGGGTGCAGGGACCACTGGTGGCACAACTCAGTCCAAATGGACACTGGTCAGACAAGGATTCTTTGTCCACCAAACACCGGGCAAAGTCTCATGGTAGATTTCTTGGCACCACAGAACTCCATGAAGTTGAAATTCAAACAGAACCCCTCAATGGAAAGGGGATTTCGACCCCATGTTGTGCCACAACAAAGGTTCTCCTAGAAACTCATGTGTGCTTAGGAAACTTCTCCAAAGCTCTTGCCCAGCAGTTTGGAGTCCCATTTCTGAGAAAAATGAATTGATGCTCTTGCCCCTCCAAACCCTTCCCACTGTCCCTGCCCTTCCTGCAGGGACAGCTTGAGAAAATTCAAGAAGCTGTCAAAGACTTTCTCTCATGAGTTTACCCATGCTCGAAGGAGGGAGCTGCTCAGCAAGGTAGGGGAGAGTTTGGGGGCAGACAGGAGGAGGCCAGAAGTGATGTTAGTTCCACGTTTTTTGCGCATGTCTGGTCCTGGCTCCCTGGATAAGGTTAAGAGGGATGTATTGGCCGTTGGACAGATGGGGGCCAGTTTGAGGTAAAAGAGTCTGGTAATGGGATATTGTGGGAGCAGTTGGTGTGACCCAGGAGGGTGGATGAACCAGCAAAATTAGGAGAGTCTCTGGCATCCCGGTCAAATAATGATCCCTCAAGACCTGTCAGACCCTAGCGGGCAAAATCAGAGTTTTGTGACAGGGAACAGCCTGTGTTCTGTGGAGACCTGAAACATTGACAGAGCATCAGACCCACTTGGGGACAGAGACTGCAGTGGAGGCTGCAGTGGAGGCTGCAGTGGAGGCTGCAGTGGAGGCTGGAGCAGGCAGGAGTATGAGACACTTTTTCCCTCTCCCTTTGTAGCTTGACTCATCACTAAGCCTGGAACCACAGAGGGGTCTGATGAAAAAACCCTGATCAGTGGCCACATGGGGGCTGACAAACTGCTTCCCTTAAGCACCTCTAAGGCCGTGCACATGTTGCCACCCCTCTGAGGGGCTCAGTTTTGTCATCTGGTTATTGATGAGTGATGAACATGCAGGCAAACCACCCTGGAAGCAATGAGGTCCAATGGAAAAAATGCATGTGCAGGAGCTCTGAGCAGGACTTGGCCACAGGATTGATGAGGACAGCACTCAAGGAGATTCTGAGTCTTTCCTGTCCTTATGACACAGGTGTATTCTCCTGTGCAATTTGCAGATGATGAAACAGGAAGAGTGAGGCCACACAACAGCGTGAGTGAGTGAGTGCTTGAGTAGGGACCTGATCTAAATCTAATATACCTGGTGGCAGGTATAGCACAACCAAGCAGGGTTCCTCCAGGCCCAAGGTTAGAGTACTGGATCAAAGTGTAGAAAGGAACATTATCAATACAAAAAGGTAAGGTCACAGTGTAAATGGTAGAGCACCTCCTAGCAAGCATGAGACCCAGAGTTCAAACCCCCGTACCACCAGAGAGAGAGACAGGCAGACAGACAGAGACAAAGAGAGGGGGAGAGGGACAGACAGACAGACATTGACAAAAACATACGTCAAGAGGGGAAAGGGTTCACTAATCCCATCCTTAATCCTGCCAGGGGAGGATTTCTAAATTTGCAGGCCTAGGGAAGAAACTCAAGAGATCACAGAGGCAGCAGAAGGAGGTGGTAAGTGACTGAGCCTAAAGGTAGTGAGCAACTCCCAGGAAGCAGTGACTAGAGGGGACTCCACAGCCCATCCTGCCTATTGCCCCACTGCCTGAAATGCCCATCCATTACGACCTCACCTAGAATCTGGCACAGTCTACCAGGAGGGTGGTGGCAGGGGTGTCATACCTCAGGATCTGCAAAATACAAGCTTGGATCTAACCACAGGCAGTGCAGGCTTGCAGCTGCCAGGAGGGGGTTTCTAGAGAGAGGTGGCCAGTGGTCTCCAGGATATTCTAAGTGGAAGGCCTTGGTGGGCGTGGGGTCAGGCTGAGAAATTTTCAGAGTGGGGCCCTGGAACTTGCTGATCACTCCCCACCTGATGCCTCAGGGTGATATCAAGGGAATCATCCCCTACCTTGGCACCTTCCTCACTGACCTGGAGATGCTGGACAATTCCATGGAGGACTATCTGCATGTGAGTGGCCTTGGGGCAGGGTTGGAGGAATGGAGCTGGATGGAGAGATCCCCTGTGTTGCCCTGACCTCCAGCTCTCCTGATAGACCCACTTACTCTTCTCAACACCACACCCATCCCACCAGGTATGGGATCTTTACAATAGAACTGCAGGCAGGTTTGGCAGGAGAGTGAAGCAAGGTCCTTCAAGTCAGGCAGTTCATGGGACAAGCAGGGCCTTCTCATTCAAAGCCTCAGTCTCTGAGATGTTCTCCTAGATTACTGAGCAAAAGGGTTCCCGACCTGTGTCCCCAGGTCCCAATGCCCTGGAATGAAAACCAGCTCTAGACCAGTCTTGGGTGGGCCCTGTGGTGGGCTCTCATGGTAGTGCAGCGTTAAGCTTGGTTTAATTGTGAAGAGGCCACTTGGTAACCTCATTGCCTATCTACCTTCTAGGGAGGAGCCATTAACTTTGAGAAGATGAGGAAGGTGAGCAGATGCCACCCTCACTTGTGAGGTGGATAGTGAGAAGAGGTTGACTAGTAGACTCAGCTCTGTCCACCACCAATCTTCATTTATGGGGTCATTTGATACAGAGAGACACTCTCCACAGAATGTTGGGGGTGTCAGAGCTAGGGTCAGCATGGTGGGAGTGACTGTTTGAACTCAGCTGTGATAACAAAAGGGAACCTGAATAGGACTGTGGGAAGGCGAGAACAGGAGTACTGACATAGAGATTGGTCATTGCCTCAACTTGCACCTGCTCAGGCTGTTGCTGTCTTGACCTTTCCCTGGCCCAGGAATTTGATGTCATTTCTGAGATCAAGCTGCTGCAGTCAGCCTGCAACAACTATGATGTTGACCCCCACGAGCACTTTGGGACCTGGTTCCGAGGAATGGAGAGGCTCAGTGAGGCCCAGAGGTGAAGTGGGGCAGGAACTGTGGGCAGTAAGAGTAACTCTGTGTGGCCCCCAAGAGCCTGTTCTATATCCAGATTCAGTGACACACTGTTATCTGGTGAATGCTGGGCACCTGGAGTTCAGCTTCCAGGCAGGCCAGGAGAGGGAGGCAGGGTTTGCCTCCTGATAACCTCATAGCTGTCCCTTTCCTTAGCTACCAACTCTCATGTGAGCTGGAGTCCCCATTGCAGTCAAACAGCAAGATCCCCAAGGCCAACAAGCACACAAGCATTGGGAAGCAATGGAGAAAGTAAGTGCCTTTGCACTGCTGGGCAGGGGACAGAGAAGCTTCTGGGCTGTAGGCTGGGGGAGCCATTCAAGGAAGTATTGTGAGGATCTCACCCCACCTAAACTGAGGCCTCCGGGCCTCAGTTTCCTCTGTGAACTGGAGAACTCCCTCACATGATGTGGGAGTATGGGTTAATGATCAAGAACCAAGAACAGAGCAAGCCCAGAGTGCTATGGGGAGTCAGGGTATGGGATCTGTCCTTGTGGATGTCCCTCAAGTAATCTGTCTCCTCCATCCAGCCACAAGGTCCCCAAGACAGAGCTCAGTAGTAGCAGAACCTCCCACTCCAAGAGGTGTAACCAGCTTAGCTGTGGCTCCGATTTCAGCAGTGGGGACACTGGTGACCAACTCTGTGTGGACCCAGCTGGCTCTACCAGCTCACACATGGAGGGAATCCACATGAGCTGTGTCCTGGGGTCTCCTGATGGCCAGGATGAGAAGACAAGCTCACAGCTTTCCACATTCTCCTATATGGTGCCAGCCTTCACTGTCTCCACATAAGCCCAGAAGCTCCAGTCCATCAAGGGGCCAGCTCAACACTCCCTCCCATGAAAATGCAATGACTCAGACCAACAAGGGCAACTTCAAAATCATGTCCACTCAAGACAAGGGTTTGTGGGAAGAACAAGTATGTGAATGACTGACTATGGAATATTTGCATTAGAAGAAAAAAATTACTGGGAAATATTTGTGTAAATAGAATATGCTAGTTCGTAATTGTTATTAAAGTACTGTTTCTATAAGTTAATCATTGTAGTTTATTCTTAAATTTCCTGTGAAAAATGCAATGTTAGGGTGAAGAAAATAAAACAGGAAGCCCTAGACATTCCCATCCCTAAGCAAACTGAATTTTACAAAAACACACAGATCAAAAGAGAATGAGAGGAATCTCAAAGCCAGTAGAAAGTTCTCACACTACTAATAAGTGTCAGTTCAATCATATCACAGACTGGTGGAAAAACCTGGGGCACTCTCCTCTCCTATTCACCAGAGGGAGCTCCGTGCTCTGTGAAAGCACTGTGCAATTGATAGGAAACCTGAACATCCATCTCACCTATGGAGTAGGAACCTTTTGGAATGTACATGTCAGTTTCTCAGGGCATGTACTTGCCATTTTCGTGTGCATGCGGGTGTGGCAGTGTGCCTGTGTCTGTTGTATGAATATGCATGTGTGCATTTGTGTATCTGCATTTCAGTGTCTATGACTATAGTGTTGGGAGATTGGGTTTTCAGCTGTGGGACCCTCAGTGGGTGACTGTATGTCTGAATGCATTTGAGCATTGAAGTCCCTGAATGAGTGTCAATTGTACAAATTTCTGCATGTGTGTGTATATCTCTTTAATAACAGTATGTGTGTGTCTCTCTGGGAGTGACTATGTTCTGTATGGGTGATGGTGGATGGATGAATTTGAGGCTCCTTTTGGTGTTTCTGTTTGTATCTCTGTGTGTTCATGTGTTTTGTTTGTATCTATGTCTAGGTCTCAGTCTGTAGTCTGTGCCACTGAGTGTGTGTGTGTGTGTGTGTGTGTGTGTGTGTGTGTGTGTGTGTGTGTGTTTGGTTTCTGTGCTTTGTGTACATGCATGTCCAGTGTGCATCTGCTTTTGCCCCAGGGCAGACCCAGATGTCCCTATGTTGTGTGTGCATGTTCTCCCCTTGTTGTGTCTGAAATGTGGGACTGTGTGAGCCTGTCCAGAAGCTATACATCTGAGTGCTGAGTTGAGGCTGAGGCTGATTCTGTACTGTACCTATGCATCCCAAACCAAGCAGATGTTGATAGGACTTGAGGGATGTGGACAATAAATGCCTTCACCACCTGTAGAAGGGGACAGAGGTTCAGTGAGTGCCAGCCTACTAGGTAGAAAGCTTAAGAAGAGATGTTTAACAAAACAAAGGAAAGGTGAGTTAATGCTTGAGCCCAGGTGGTTCAGAGCATGGGCTTTGGAAATGAGAGGACCAGGTTTCAATCTGTGTCCTCCCATTCCCAGTCCTTTGACTGACTGACTGACTTACCTCTCTTAGCCTCACTTTTCTTCTCTGTGAGAGGGGGGCAATAAAAGCTCCTTCCTCCTATAGTTCTGTAGAAATTCCTTGAGATAATCCACATCAAACATCAGGCCTGCTCTCCTGTGTTATTCCTCCCCTCACCATCATTGTCAGCATCATGTTAAGCATTTGTTTTACACATTGTTCTGTGGCTGGAACATGGATGGCATACAGGACTTACCAATAATTTATTTTTGCATTATTAATTATATCCTCATTTTCTTACACAAGTCCTTGTGCACGGAATCATTCGAAGGACATTTATTGAATCAAGGAATGTAAGCTCTGGAGCCACATTTCTCACAGTCCTGTTAATACCCACATTTCATTCACTACATGATGTGGGAAAGTTACTTAATCTCCTTGGCTTCCCTCTTCTTAACTGTAAGGAGAGTTATATGAAGGTTATTAGGGTTGTGAGAGTTGAAAGCTTTGTCACTAGGCAAGTGTGCACTAATTACTAGCCTTCCTCATCACCATCCATGATCCATACATTCAGAGCCACAGATGGGGTCATAGTGCCTTAAGGGCCACATAGTGTAACTGCACAAGTACACCAGTTGTCCTCTTTCCAACCTGGATCCCGAGCTGAGATGACACCCTGGAAGATTTTGCACTGGAGAAACACTGGACTTCTGTGACCTTCTTACCTCCCCTCAAGTCAGACCTGGGCTGCTCACTGCTACAGACTCTGACACCACCATGTGAGATGCTAGGGTGTCCTGCAAAACTGTTTGCCCAATGCATTACCTGAAGAGTCCATTGTTCTGGGGCAGATGCCAGGCCTGGGGTGAACCAAGGCTTAAATCTTTTTCCTTTAGAGGGTCACACCTCCCCTTGACCAAGAGGGTGGAGATCATGGGGAGCCAAAGACTCAACACTTGCCTATGCTTGGGTCCAAAATTTGAAGACCTGGACATTCTGCTCCAGATGTACCCGATTCAGATGTTCCCTGGGATGTCTCACCTTGAGCCTGATGAGGGAGAAGGAAGGATGCATTTACCTCAGAGCTTGGTTTCTTGGCCCAAGCAACTTCCTCCAGCACTAGTATCTTGGGAGCCTCAAACTTTTTCTTAAACATCCATGCAAGTTCTCCAGCCTACCCCACCCCCCAACGTTGTATCAGCAAGCTGTATTGTACCTTATTATTTTGAATCTTTGCCTATATGTTTAAATTGTACAAAGTGATGTTTTGCATATACATAGTGAAAAGATTACCACAGTGAAACAAGCTACCTCACACAGTATAGAGAGGTTGGTTACACAACGTACTGGAGTATGGAAAGTGCTCAAAATCTACTCTCAGCAAATGTCCAGTATACAGGACGATATCTTAGAAATGTCCAGACAAATGGGAATACATTCTGCACTGTGTGTTCCTGAGCAACACAACTACAGCTAGCAATAATGCATTATATGTTCCAAAAGAGCTAGAGGAGAGGGTTTTTTTAATGCTCTGAACACAAGAAATAAATGTAGGAGGTGATGTATAAGCTAATTATTCTGATTTGATCATTACATCATGTATACTTATATGAAATCACATTACATCCCATACATATGCACAGTTTTATGTGTCCATTAAAAACATATTAATAAGCCTCAATTTCTCATAAGTATTTACAGAAATGTTGTAGTGTATCTTTTTAAATTTCATGGAGGGGCTGGGACTGATACCCACACTAACTCAGCTCAAATCTTATTCCATTCTGTATTATTTTTGAGACTTTATGCTAATTTTCTCACTGGTCAGTGGTCCAGTTTCCACACCACTGGAGTAGTGTGGAAACTACTCCACACTACTCGATGCTGCCTGCATCTAAAGCTGGTTATAGAAAGCCTTCAGGAGAGTGATTTCACACAGTAAGCACTCCAGCAATCTGAGCAAGTATTATTGTCATTGTGTTTTTCTCCTGTGACATTGTGCGCCTCATGAGAGGGGCACAAACATTACCTAAGTTCTCCCAACATATAGGGACTGAAATAAGTCTTCCTTCCCAATCACATCCCCTCTTGAATTGTGTGATATTTTCTGCCCTTTCCAGGCCTTCTTGAACTTCATTTTGATTCATTCTTCTGGACATGGTGTGGAAGAGCTGCCAAGATACCAAGGATCACAGCACCTAAAATGTTACTCTGCACAGAGTCAGGTTGAGTGTTGCATCACCAAGCCATGGAGGAATGTCACCTAGGCAAATCTCAGGGTGTCAAGTCCAAGCCCAGGGTCAGTACCACCTGCCCATTGGCACTGATGACATCATCTCCCCTCCCCAGGAACCAAATGTGCCTTCTGAATCCATGGTTGTTCTTCCCCACTTTTGTAAGTCTCCACATTCCACCTCAGCTGTCTTCTCTGTGTAATTCTGCAAAGGAAACAGAACCCCTTTTTGAAGGCAGTGAGTTTAGAGATAATGAGATGCAACTTTGGTGAAAAATCTGGGTTTGCATTCTGCCCATGAGAACCTGGAGAAGTTCTATAATCCCTTGAAGACTCCTGTCTTTACATGTACTCAGTGTTTGCTGCTGCTCAATGAATGCACACTAAAACGGCAATTTTAATGACAATTTAAAAAAATAACAACTGACTTTTGTCTGACACTAGAGCATAATTCTAAGTGTAAGGTGAATCCTGTTTATTTCATTCACAGCTATAAACTTGTCATTCACATGATGCATGGACAGATGCAAGGAGTCAATAAACATTTACAGAATGAATTTTCTTCCCCATGTGCTATCTCATTTGATCCTCGCAGAAACCTGTGAGGCTGGTATTTTTAAAACTAAGCTTTTCCTTTTAAGATTATTATACATTTGCATACAGTTTTAAGAAATCCCATGGAGACTTAACCTAGTTTCCCCCAGTGGTAATATTTTGCAAAACATTACTCAGTGTTCTAATCAGGATATCAACATTGATTCAATCCACAATCTCACTGGCAGAGTGGCTCAAGTGGTAGAGTGTATGCCTAGCAAGTGTGAGGCCCAGAGTTCAAACCCCAGTGCCACCAAAAAAATAATGAGTTTTTTTTAAAAAGGTTCTTGCAATCCACAATCTCATTCACATTTCCTCTGATTTACATATGCATACCTGTGTGCATGTGGGAGGGAGGTAGACTATACAGCCTTATGCAATTTTATCCAATGTGTAAGTTCATTTTCCCCCAGAGCAGTAAACATACAGAGATGTGCCATCATAGGAGGACACCTCATGATGCTCTTTTATAGCCATTCACCTCTCTGCTGCTCCCTTTCCCTCTTCTCCCCCAGCACCAAACCAAGAGAACAACTTAACACCTAATAATTGAACATGTTTATTGTATAAGGAGTAATAATTCAATAATGAATATAATGATCTAATCAAAATTATTAGTATTTCTGTCTCCTGAAACTTTTACCATTTCTTTATGTTGGGAAACTTTTAACTCCTCCTCTAGTCCTTTCTAACATACATAATAAA